CCTCAGGCTGCAGGGGGACTGTGCATCCTTAGGGACACTGGGAATGCTCAGAGCGTGTGAGGTCGGGGGTGGCTTTTTAAAGGTTTAAAGGCAGGAGGGAACTGAAGGAGGGTGAGGGCCCTGTTTTGAGGTGCTTTTTGTGGTGGAGGAATGATGGCTCAGCTGGAGCCACGCTGTGAGACAGCAGGCTGTTAGCACAGGCTGGTGAGGTGCAAGTGCTCAGGAGATCGGGGATGAATGTACTGGATTCTGTGTTTTATCCATAATAGTTTATTTTATTTTACTTAATTTTATTTTGTTGGGGAGTTGGCGTTTGTGCTTTGTGGTGAAACAGAGCTGGCATTGCTGCTCCTGGCTGAGCCATTGTCATGTCCTGCCTATCTCTCCCAGGGCTCCTCAGTGGCTCTGGATGGGGCAGAACTGCTCCTTGAGCCTGGCTACTGAAAACTTTTCCTTTCAAAGTTTCTGTGCCATAAAGGAGGTGCCAACAACGTGGTGGCACTCCCAGGTGGTTCCTGTCAGTGCCCACAGCTTTGTGCCCAAGCACAGCACTTCCCTCTGGAGTCTCATGGGTGATCCTGGGCTGCTCTGCCCAGTGCCATGGGCAGCAGCAGCTCCCAAGGTACTTCCAAGTAAGAAAAGTCTTTCTAGGAAAGCTAATCTTGGTTTTAATTCTTTTTAATGCCGATTATGGGGTGAGAGCAGCTGGCATCATACAAGAGCTGATCTGTTCTTTAGTTTGTTGGGTTTTTTTTAAACTTCTGTTTATGGTGATAATGTGAGGCAGCTTTGGAGGTGAATGTGATCTTCCTTCTGAGCCTGGGAGGTTTCTGTGTACAGCCTGAGGTTCCCCAGCGTGGCCTAGACCCCACTGGGACTTGCTGTGAGACCTGCACTCCCCCAAAGCCCTGTCTGGAGGCACGGAGGCTCCTTGGGGAGGCTGTCACTTGCACCAGCATCAGTGCCTCAGCATTGTGCCACCTCCTCCTCTCCCCTGGAAAGGCTCTCTGGGGTACAAACCCACAGGGCACAAAGGTGTTTTGAAGGTTATGCTGTTTGTGGTGGCTCAGCCAAGTTGGCCTCGTGGTTCTGTCCAGAGGGATTTCCAGGGTCAGGGGTTGTTGTGATGGTGTTTGGAGGTTGTGGCTGGAAGCAGGGTGGTGTGGCCTTTGCTGAAGGTGAGCTTCTCACCTTTACAGCGTGTTCAAAGCCTTCTCCTGTCCTGCCTGTGCCCTCCTGTCTCATGTGAGCTGAGTCTGCTGGTGAAAGGCTCTGTGTCCATCCAATTTTCTGCTTCCTGAGGTGCCTCAAGGTGCCCCCTGATTGATTCAAGCACACCCAAACTTCCACACTAAAGCTGAGGTGAGATTCCCTGGGGGAGGAGGGAGATGAGTAATGCAGGTGACACCAGGCTGATGAAAGCTCCCAGCAGCCTGCTCTGGAGCAGGGCTCCAACCAGGAGCTTGTTTCCTGCTGGGAAACCACCCAGTGCTGTTTGGGTTTGAGGAGGGAGGGAGGGAGGGAAGGACAGACAGACTTTTTTCCTGCTGACTCACTCACACGTCTTCCTCCAGCACGGAGTGGGAGAGATGATTCGTGGTGGCTCATTTTAGTCACAGTGGTTTCAACCTGTGGTGTTCAGCTGTGCTCATAAATTGAGAAATAACTCACTTCTTACTCCCTCTGTCCAACCTGTAGTATGTGATACTCAAGGCTGTGTTGAGCAATACTTGCACTGCCACCTGTCTGACCTGCTTCACCTCTCTGCCACCCAGCAGCTCTGACTGGGGAGGGTGCCCCGGGGGCTGGAACATCTCTGATTCCCAACAGGAGCTCTGGGATTATCTGCAACTGGGAGCTGTGGAGAAACACGCCCTGGAGGGCTTGTGCTCCTCTCAGCGGTGTAACCTCTGCACTTGGACTGGAAAAGGGGAGTGGACACTGGGCTGTGGCACCTCTGGGTGTTTGGAGCCCTCTCTGCTTGTGGTGGCAGAAACTGGGGGGATTCTGAGGGCAGCTGGTGTCTGGGAGCCGAGTTCCTCTTTCCTCTGTAATTTCTCTGTCTCTGTTCTGCTGCTGTTGTACAGTGCAGATCCTGTATTGGCACTTTAGGACTTCCCCCATCTCTGGTGTGGCACCTGACCAGTTTGATATTCACAGACTAACAACGAGCCACAGCCTTTGCACTGACAGCTCCTGCCTTGACGTGTGTGTCGTTCTCTTGCCTGAGCCATCCTTCCCCGAGGAGCAGGGGGGTCCTGGCAGTGGCAGTGCCACCCTCACCAGCCAGCGGTGCCCTGCATGGCCGTGTCCCCTGCTTCTGTGAGTGCTGCCACCCAGCATGTCCCCACCTCCTCCCGCACAGCCCCGCTGGCTCCCCCGGCTGCCGGGGAGGGGAGGTGTTCACTGATCAGAATTCACCCGAGCAGAAGCCTCTCCCGGCCAGGAGGGAGGGCTCCCGTTCCCCACTCCTGCTCCTTCCAGGCCCTGCTCTGCTCCCCACTAACCCCCCTGCTTCCAGCTCCCAGCCCAGGAGGCTCAGCCATAGCTGTAGGTGATCCTAACCCTACAGAGGTTTCATTTCTCAGAGAACAATGCTCAGATTTCCTCTCATCTGATAGCAATCACTTCTGAGCAGCTCCTCAGAGCTGCCTATACTCTAGCAATATTCACCGTGGTGGGAGGGTGGGGAGGCACTCCAGGGTGGGAGCTGATGGCTCTGTGCTCCCAGGCCAATTCTTTGGGTTTTATTGAGTGTGAGGGTCCTGAGCCCCTGGTCTGGTGGTGGGAGCCAGCCCACACTGCAGATTGCAGGAGCTGGGCAGGACCCGGGGCTTGCAGCAGCACAGTGAGGAGGCTCCTGTAACAGGGTCTGAGGGAATTCAGGGAGCTGCCCAGGCTGCAGGAGAACCCCCTGCCCCAGAGCACAATGTCAGAGCACCCAACTGCACCCCAGCATTGGAGGGGTCACAAACCCCCAGCCCCTGCTCCCTGGGACGGATTTCACTGGAAGGCAGCAGCAGGGTACCCGGTCCTGCCGGCAGCACGGCTGCTGCCACGGGGATGGGGCTGGGCTTGGAGCTGCCTCTGAAGGCTGCCAGGAGGCTGTGATGAATTCTCATCTTATTTTAAAAAAGCACTGTATCCTATTCCTGCATGTTGAGTTCCGTGTGTGTGCCTGTGCGTGCCGAATGCTTGCGTCAGTAGTTAGGGCGAGTGTGACCGGGAGAAACCCAAGCATGTCTTAGTGTCGTGCTGTAAGTGTCACTGCACAAGAGTTTAACTGATGTTAACACCAAATGACTAGTCTGAGAAATGTACTTTTAAAAAAAAAATATTTATTTGGGTTCAGATATTTTTGAAATACAAAAAAAAAAAAAAAAAATTGGTCGTATTTTTTAAAGCTTATAATTCTTGTCATATGTTGTGGTTCAGTTCTTAATTTTAACATGCTTATTAAAAAATGGTTCAACCTAAGCTTTGTGCCAAGGGGTCTGAGAGAATACTGGAGGACCTGGTTAGGATAGTATGGTGATCCCAGGAGGGATGTTCAGGACAAGGCTTGGCCCTGTCGTAGCCTGTGAGGTGGCAAGGCACACAGGATGAAGGGGAATCCTCGAGGCTGAAACCAGGGGGGCTTTTAGTGGCTGTGAGGTTCCTTGTGCAGCTGGAGCCCCTGTCCCTCACACTGCCATGGGCAGGGTGTCCAGGGAATGTGGACAGACCAGCCTACATCTCATCTGCTGCTCCACAACCAGCACGAGCTGGATGGCACCATGAGGTGAGTGAGGGTGACCTGGTGCTCGGTGACACAGTGGTGAAGGGCTGGTGTCCCCACAGGGGTGGTACTCACGGGGTCCCTGTGCCCCACATGGGAGGGGAAGGGGGAGTAAGAGCCAAAGGAGGAGCTGCTGCTGCAGCCTCACAGGGAAGGGCTGGGAGAAGGCACTGGGGTGTTGGTGTCAGGCTGGGGATTGGGGGTGTGCTGTGATCCTGGGTGCTCCCGTGGCTCTGGGAGCAGGCACGGCTGTGTCTCCTTACAGGACAGGCAGCCCTGGCAGCGGGAACGTGGCTGCAAAGGCTTCCACCTCTTCCTTCAGTGCCTTCAGCTCCCCACGGTATTTCTGGTCCTCCAATTTGTCCTTGAATTCCTTCAGCGTGGCCTTGGGGTTCATGTCCTTCTGCACACGCAGAGCCAGCTCAATCCCTGCCAGGATGGAGATGTTTTGGTCAGCCCTCACAGCTGCTGCAGCCCAGGGCTCTCCCAGCCCTGCTGCCCCCCGGGACGGAGCCCTGCTGCCCCCCGAGACACGGCCCTGCTGCCCCCCAGGATAGAGCCTTGCTCCCACCCTCCTTCCCATCTCAGGCACTTGCTGCCCAGGGACACAACTTGGAACTCCTGAGGACAACGGGGAGAGAACTGCCAGAGGGACAGGCTTTCAGCCCACTGCCTGCAGCGGGGAGAGTCTGGCTGGTCCCAGATGCCCTCTCTCACATCCAGATGTGGAGGTAGGATGGTTGTTCCTCATTGCTGGGTGTTCTCCCTTGCCAGCTGGTGCCTCCTCATGCAGGGGAGCTGCCCTGATCCAGGCTGGAGCCGGAGCTGAGGCTCCCTAGCCCCCAGCTCACCTTTGTGGATGTACTGGGCCACCCTGCGGAAATCGTCCTGCCGGAAGCCGCGCGAGGTCAGAGCCGGTGTCCCGAAGCGGAGCCCGCTGGGCCGCAGGGCACTGACATCACCTGCAGCACAACGAGGCACCCGTGACCAAACCTGGCACTGAAACCACCTGTGGGCATCCAGCCCGGCTCCTGGGGCGGAGCAGGGGCTGGCAGAGCTTGTGGGATCCCTCACCAGGGCACGTGTTCTTGTTGCAGGCGATGGAGCAGAGCTCCAGCACCCGCTCGGCCCGGCCGCCGTCTGTGCCTTTGCTGCGCAGGTCCACCAGGATCAGGTGGTTGTCAGAGCCCCCTGCAAAGAGAGGACTTTGGTGGGATTGGGGAAGTGCTTCAGCAAAAGAAGACTTGAGATTTAACAAGGGGTGAGGAATTGTGCCAAGAGAGCCCTGCCATGGTGTCCTTGAAGAGCTGCCCAGGGTCAGCCCCATCCCATTGCCGAGACGTGTCCTCACCTGTGACGATGTCGTAGCCCATCTCCATCAGTGCTGATGAGAGTGCCTTGCAGTTGGCCACCACCTGCTGCTGGTAAGCCTTGAACTCGGGTGTCATGGCCTGATGCAGTGCCACGGCAATCCCTGTGGATAGAGGCAGGCCAGGGTCAGATTTGGGGGGCTCCCATCTGCAATGGCACTGCCAGCAGAAGCCATACAGGAGCTGAATGAATGAATGAATGAATGGACTGATCCTTGCTTTCCCCTCACCAGGCTGGTGGTATTGCCATGAGCCAAAACACAGGACAGGCTTGGTCACTCCTTGGGCAATGCTGGATCACCAGCTGCCTTTTGCCACAGTGTCCCCAGTCTGTGAGCTCCGTAGGGCAGCTGGAGCCTCCTGTGCTGCTGCTGGGGGTCAGAGCCCTGCCAGGAGCCCTTTGCCAGCTCCTTCTGCTGTGCTGGAGCTGGCAGCCAGCCTGGCTGCATACCTGCAATGGCGTGGTTGTGTGGGCCTCCCTGCAGCCCTGGGAACACTGCCTGGTTGATGAGGCTCTCCAGGTTGTAGAGGGTCTCCTTGCCTGTCTTGGGGTCCACGCTGCGGGTGCCTGTGAGACAGGGAGGACATGGTGACAAGGCAGCACAGCCACCCTTCTCCCACGAGCTGCTTTCACCCCCTGGCTGCTCAGAGCAGGCACAGTGGTTGTTCCTCTTCAAATCTGAGCCAGGGAAGCTCCCCAGACACTCCCAGGATCTTTCTGCCCTCCCTCTTTCCCAGTTGGAGCAGGAAGCAGCGTTAGCCTGCAGCGTTCCTCCCGGCACCCCGGGCACCTTTGCGGTAGAAGATCATTCCGGCCCTGCAGCCCCGCAGGGTCTTGTGGGTGGTGGTGGAGACGATGTCGCAGTGCTCGAAGGGCGAGGGCACCACGCCAGCGGCCACCAGCCCGCTGATGTGCGCCATGTCTGCCATCAGGAACGCCCCGTTGTCATCCGCAATCTTCCGCATGCGGGCGTAGTCCAGGTTCCGCGAGTAGCAGCTGACACCTGCGGGGACAGCGGTGAGCAGGGGACAGGAGCGGATGTGCAGCAGCCTGGCACAGCCCCAGGAGCAGGCCTGCAGTGCAGCCAGCCCAGCAGGCTGTACACAAGCACGGTACACAAGCTCCTTGCGGGGTGGTTGTGTTGGAGGTTTCCTCCTGGCGCTGCAGCATCCATGAGTTTCAGGGAGCCACCCCAGCCCTGCCACCAGGGAGGTTGGTACAGGTGTGACCCTTACCTGCTATGATCAGCTTGGGGTGGAAGAGCCGGGCGTTCTCCTCCAGCTTGTCATAGTCAATGTAACCGGTCTTGGGGTTGACCTGGGAGAGGAAGAGGAGGGTTCAGCCACCTCGCTGTGGTGAAGATCAGCTGCAGTGCTGTCCTGCAGGAGGGAGTGCTGGCACTTTTAACTTTGAGGCACCAACACTAATGATAACTGCATCCTAGCTCTGGCTGGAGCAGCTCCCTACCTTGTAGGGCATGGACTCGAAGAAGACAGAGGTGGCAGAGATCTTCTTCTTGTCTGTCATGAAGCCGTGGGTGAGGTGGCCACCATCGGGCAGGTCCAGCCCCATGATCCTGCCATGGGGCTCCACCAGGGCCGTGTACACCGCAAAGTTTGCAGGTGACCCTGCAGAGAGAGCACAGCGGGCTGGGTATGAATGCTGGGGCACACAGGGGCCTGGGCAAACTGCCCTGGCTCTCCTGAGCACCCCAATACCTGAGTAGGGCTGGACATTGACTCCCCACTTCTGGGGGTCAAGCCGGTAAGCCTGCAGGGCTCGCTTCTGGCACAGCCTCTCCAGCTCGTCCACAAACTCCGTCCCACCGTAGTACCTGCAGTGCAGGACAAGGATAAAACCAAACTCAGGACTCAGAACAGGCCCTGTGACCAGGCTGGGGACACACTGGGGTGGTTCCCCTTTAGTGCAGCCACAGCAGATGTGACCCTGCTGAGACTGTCCCATTGTGGCCAAGGACAGAGGCTGAGAAGGTCAGAGCCTGTCCTGGAGGCGCCTGGCTGCCAGCACAAGGACACTGCTTCCCGTTCTGGTTCCTCTCCCACCCTGCCAGGGTTTGGGTTGGTGGGCCTTAGCCCCAGCCCCATACCTCTGTCCTGGGTAACCCTCAGAGTATTTGTTGTTCATGCAGGATCCCAGGGCCTCCAGGACTGCTCGGCTTGCAAAGTTCTCCGATGCAATCAACTCCAGCCCCAACCTCTGCCGCTGCTTCTCCTTCTTGATGATGCTGTGCACCTTTGGGAGAGGAGAGAAATGGCCTCAGCCATCTCTGCACGGAGATGTGGATGTTCCACCACAGGAACAGGGCTTGGAAAGGTGCTGGAGAACAGAGATGTGATCCCTTCTTGGTGCAGCTGATCCCGACCAGCCAGAGAGAGGGCACAGAGGATGGATGGGCTCCAGCAGCTCAGCCTTGGACCCTGCCACGTCCTTGGCTTGACCAGGTCAGCATCCCCATGGTTGGCTGGGGGATAATGAGGCAGCTGGACAGGAGCCAGGAAGGGGCTCTCACCTCGGGGTCGTTGGTGTCCAGCGGCTCCATCACCATCTTGTTATGGGAGGCCCAGAGCTCGGCGCTGGGCAGGCCCTGTGCTGAGCTCGCCATGGTGCTGCTGCTGGGTCTGAGTCACCTGCCAGGGGAGCACGAGTCTGTGGGATGGCAGCAGGGCTGGGTGCCCCCACATCTCCCTGAGTGCTGCCTGCTGCCATCCCACGTATTCCCTGGGAACAGCCACGGGCTGCTGGGTGAGGAAAACACACACAACCCTCCGGCTTCCCCTGCTGATTTAAGATCAGTTTGTTAATTCCGGTGCTTTGATAATGTCTGATACTCTCCCATCACCACCCCTCCCTGAGCTGCCCCTGCCCAGCTCGGCAGTGCCTGATGTTTCATTTCAAGGGCAGTGAAATGCTCGTACCCACAGATCTCAATTTAACACACGCTGTGATGCCCAGCATGCTTAAACCTCTTGGCTGCTTTCCCTTGGGCAAAACCCCAGCAGGTCAGAGTCCTGCCCCTAACCCTGACTGAAGCATCCTGTGGAGCTGAGAGGCCCTGAGAGGCAGCAGTTCTGCCTCTGTTGGGTTCCATGGCATGGGTGATGCCCAGGCCTGGCAGGAGCTCTCTGGCCCAATTGATGCTGCTTTTGGGGGAAGAAGTAACAGCCTAGCTGCTGCCTTGGCAGAAAACAATCCATCTTTTTACTCATTAACCCCCAAGGACGGGTGAAGGTCCGTGAGCAGGTTATTAAGCAATCCCACGCGGTTTCCTTGTGCCAAGCTGCCAAAGTCCATTCACGCCGCCCTTGCTGGGCAGGGATGCTCAGCCATGCTCTGGCCCGAGCCCAGGCTCACTGGCAGGGTGGGAATCCTCACGGCCGGAGAGGATGGGCTGAGCAAAGGCTGCGAGGGGCAGTGCTGTGGCTCTGAGCAGGATGCAGGTGCTGCATGTCCCCCAGCCCAGGGTGCTGCAGCACTCACTGCAGGGAGGGACAGAGCTGCCATTCCCAGGCAGGATGAGACCTCCCCCACACCTGGTACCTCACCTGGGGAACCCCATCCCCGAAGCTCTGTCTCCACCTAGACCTGCACCCCCTGTATCCCGACTCCATCACTTCCCACATCCCGAGAGCCTGGTGGCGCGCCCCTCTGCCCTGCCCCGCGTGGCGGGGACCGGCGCTGTGCCCCTCAGCGGGCTGCCGTGCCCCGGCCCTGCTCTCCCCACCCGCACACCCCGATCGTGCCCCGGTCCCGGTCCTTACCCGCTCCCGATTCCGCCAGCGCGCCAAAGCCCGCGCGCTACCATAGCCCGGCCGGGCCCCGCCCCCTCCGCGCCGCGGCCAATCAGCGCCGCGCTCCGCCCCGGGAACGGCGGCGGGGAATGAGCTCGGGAAGCACCTGAGCCAATCAGCGCCGCGCTCTGCCCCCTCCCCGCCTCCCATTGGCCCGTGCAGGGGCGGGGCTGGCGGCGCGGCCCGCACGTGGCGCCCGGGGCGCGGGTGACCTTGGGCCGGGAGGGGCGGGGGGCCCGCGGCTGTCACCCCTCCTGTGCTGTCACCCCCTCCTGTGCTGTCACCCCCTCCTGTGCTGTCACCCCTCCTGTGCTGTCACCCCCTCCTGTGCTGTCACCCCCTCCTGTGCTGTCACCCCTCTTGTGCTGTCACCCCTCTTGTGCTGTCATCCCTGTGCCGTCACCCCTCCTCTGCTGTCACCCCTGTGCTGTCACCCCTGTGGCAATGCCTGAACCATTCATCCCCCGGTGCCTCTCCGCCAGCCCTGCGGTGTTCCCGGTGTCCCGCCACTTCCCCCATGAGCCGAAGGATGGGACACCCCAACACCGTGCAGCGGGCAGGGACATTTCCAGGCACCCCCCTGCCAAGGCCGTGTCTCCAGGCCCTGGCACAGGCTGGGCACGTTGCTGCTGTTGTGGGGCGCAGAGCTGGTCCTCTTCCCCCTCCGGTTCCCAGAGGGATTTCGGGGTGCTCAGGAAGGGGAGCTGCCTTGTTTTGTGTTTTCTTCAGTCATCACATCCAAGTTAGTGCTTGGGCTTGGCCAACCAGCCCCAAAGAACTTGCACCCCCTGGGGCTTCAGGGGTTAAATCAACACACCATAAATTGAGGAAGAAGATTAGGGAATAAAGTGATCCTACTAAATTCCTCGTGATCCCAAGCCATGGGAAAATGGGGCGAGGCAGTGTGAGTCACCCCAGAGAAGAGCAGCACAAGGGGAGCCAGGCAGGAGGGTGAGACCACCCTGTGGGCAGAGCAGCCAAGAACAGCACGGTGAGTCCTGCCAGGTCTGCCAAGGCAAGTGCAAGATGAACGGGAGAGAGAGGAGGAGGAGGGTGGGCTCACCAGAGGGTGGTGGGTGGGTAAAGGGTCTGTGGTTACGCTTGGATATAGCTCAGGTGTTGTTCTGCACCTCCCTGGAAGGGGTTTGGTGAAGAAATAGTCTGTTAACATTATTGTTACTGGTCTAAATAGTTTTTGCTGCCATAATTTGTAACTGGTGATCCAAAGAGGATTGGTCACAATGGGGGGATCTGGGTTTCCACGGCTTTGCTGCTGGTCCATGCTGGATTGCTGCTGTGGGCTGGTGTTGAAGGTGTTGTTCTGACACGCTGACATCAACAGCAAACTTGGGGTTGGTTTTTCTGGTTGAGGTGGTTTCTGTGAGATGCAGATGTTATAGAGAGGGACTTTATATTAATTATAAATTCATTTATCTAATCTAGCTTTTCATACATATTTTGTGTACAGTTGCTCACAAAGATTTTCACCTCTCTTGAGCAGCAGATAACAGCTCTGTTGTGATTCCAGGTCTTGGCTTGCTAGTGATGGACAGCACCTCTTTTTCCCCTTTTCCCTTCTCTGCCAGCTGCCCCACGGAGCAGCCCGACACTGCCACTGACCATGACTACTACTCTGGGCTGCAGAGGGCCATGCACATCCTCTCCATGGTGGTGTACAGCATCGCCTGTTTGCTGGGGGTGTCAGGCAACGGCCTCGTCATTTGGATTGCAGGCTTCAAGATGAAGAAGACGGTGAATTCCATCTGGTTCCTCAACCTGGCCATAGCTGACTTCATCTTTACCTTCTTCCTGCCCCTCAGCATCACCTACACCGCCCTGGGCTTCCACTGGCCCTTTGGGAAGCTGCTGTGCAAGCTGAACAGCACCATGGCCTTCCTCAACATGTTTGCCAGCGTCTTCCTCCTGACAGTGATCAGCATGGACCGCTGCATTTCTGTGGCGTTCCCCATCTGGTCTCACAACCACAGGAGCCCGGAGCTGGCGGCCAGGATCGCGCTGGGGACGTGGGGCCTGGCTGTGCTGCTCAGCTCCCCGTACCTCGTCTTTCGGGACACCCTGGTCAGCTCCAGGAACGTCACCAGCTGTTACAATAATTTTGCTCTGTCTGATGATTATACATCGGAGGCCACGCGCAGGCTGTGGAGGGTGCGGCACAAGGCGATGATCGTCACGCGGTTCTTATGTGGGTTCCTCATCCCCTTCGTGGTGATTCTCATCTGCTACAGTGTCGTGGCTGTCAAGCTGAAAAGAAGGCAGCTGGCCAACTCTGCAAAGCCCTACAGAATCATCATTGCTGTCACAGTCTCGTTTTTCCTCTGTTATTTCCCATATCACGTCTTCTCCTTGCTGGAAATATCCAACAACTCTTCCAGCCATGAGATGAAACTGGCCCTTTACATAGGGATCCCCTTGGTTTCCAGCCTTGCTTTCTTCAACAGCTGCATCAACCCCATCCTGTATGTCTTTGTGGGGCCGGATTTCAAGGAGAAGTTCCGCCAGTCCATCCTGTCCGCCTTTGAGGGGGCCCTCAGCGAGGAGTCGGTCCTGGGCAGCCTGACCGGCCGGCGCAAGTCCAGGTCTGCTTCGGAAGTGGAGGTGCCGAGGGTCTGAGCAGGGGCTGCTGTGGAAGGGGCCGTTCTTTTCTCTGCAATTTCCCTCATTTCAGAGCTCAAATCGTGGGACTGGGGACTGTGAGGGGCTGCACATGCTAGTGAGGTGGGATTTTGTGTTTTGGAGATGTCTTAAATATGCTGTGATTGAACACACAATGGGGATGGAAGAGCTCTCTGGAGCTGCAGCAAGGTGGGTCCAAGTAGCAGCATTTTACTCCTTGTGTCTTTTGACTCTTGTGTATGGAGCCTTTATAGAAATAGGGTTAAACACAATGGCTGTATGTATTTTTGTAGAGAATGGAATAGTGACTAAGACACTCTTTTCTCTCCTCAGACAGGACAAATCAGTGGTTGTGCTGGTGTTACTCAAATTTGATGTGTTTCTGAGCAATGCTAATCTCTGTTTGTGTTTGACATGCTCCCAGCCCTTAAATAGCGGAGATCTGATATTTTGTGCTGTTGATGAATTAATATTGTCCCCCAATAAACTTGTGTAAAACATACCCACCCTGTTGTGTTGCCTGTGGGATAAACACTTGATCCAGCCTGACTGAGCAGGTTCATCTTTGGTAAAAGAACAAGCAGGTAAAAAGATTAAATATCTAGAATTTGGAAACAAACCACTAGTATTAGCAGCAGCTCTATGAGTGAGGCACACAGGACATGACCTGGGTGTGAGGATTTGCCTGGGGCACATGGATCTGATTGCCAGACAATGGTTATGGTTTATTTGGGTTTCAGACCTTTGGGTACATTTGAAAACCAGTGATTGGGAGAAAAACAAGTGGCCGAGCTGAATCTGGCCAAGCTTCATGTTTGCAAACTGTCCAGGGTGAAGAAGGTGGGGACTTTCTTACAGGCTTCATAAGCCTCTGGACCTCTTAGATTTTTGTGAGTAGAAAATGTTGGTTACGTAACAGGGAATGGCAGCACCAAGGTGTTGTCATTCCTAGCCCATCCTCAGTGAGCACTGACTGTGTCACACCTCCCTCTCCTGCCCTACCCAATTTACCTGTAGATTAGTCCAACCTACCAATTGTCCTGTTCATCCTGTCAGAAACCTGCCTTGGAGCCTCCCTGCTCCGGTGGCTGGAAAATCTCTGACTCCCAGGTGGATTGTAAGAATTTACACGTACCTCACCATTCTGCATGGATGATGTTATGAATGAGAGCTGTCAGCTGAACATGTTGGGGATTAATTATGGCTCTGCTGGGCCATGCAGTATTGAATGAAGGTCGTGATCCTGAAGGCACACAGGCACATTCATGCACAAACCCGCTGAGAATGGGGAATGTAGCACAACCATCACACGTCAAACTTGAGTGAACAAAGAGACTTAACCTTTGTCACAAATTGCTGCCTGTCATGCAGATAAAACCGCAATGTTTGCCATGCAGCACGTAACTCTGGGGCTATTTACTTGCTCCTGATGGTAAACTACAGCATCGATTGCCATGTCAAGGTTTTGCAGACCCAGGTTTGCTCTCTCTGGTTTTCTTTATCTTTTTGCAGAGTCCACATAATTCCTTGTGACAAGAGTCTCCGTGAGCGTTGGACCAAGGCCTTGGACTCCTGGCTTGCCTCTCTCCTCAACCCTGGCAGCCTCGAAGGTCAGGATTTGAAGTGTTGACCTGGTTTGTGGTAGGAAGGAAAGCAGAAAGTTTTCTGGGTCATTTGGAGATCCAAGGTGGGTACAGAGTCCCATGGGACAGCATGGTTTAAGTGAAGCAGTGTCTGGGTGATCTAAGGAATTACCATGGAAAAGCCATAGGTAACAGGGCAGGATGAGCTTGGGATAGAGATGGATTTGTCATCCTGGGTCTGATCCCTGCCCTTTGTGCAATGGGAAACCGTGCTGACAGCAAGGCAGGCCAGGCTGCCAAGGGACTGCTTCCAAGATAAATCTGCCATTGTATCGAGTTCCCTCATGTTCAGACTACCTCATTATCACAGGGATAATTGTCAGTCCTTCATTCCCAACTAGGAGACAGCTCATTCTCTCTGATATTTCCATTTACCATATGCTTATCTAGAAAAGCTTGAATGAAAAAAATGGCGAAATACTTTCCAACAGCAACCAGAGGAGGCTGAACGGCTGCTTTGGCAGCTGTGCCCCCTCTGACGCAGCTCTGCTGTCAAGGCTCTTTCAGATGCCAGGGGAGGGGTGGAACAGCCTGAACCCCCCAGTGTTTGCAGTCATTGAGAAAGGTGCAGAACCCGCTGCCTCATTGGTCCTGCAGAGGGGCCGATCCGACAGCCCCGCCCTACAAACACCGGCTGGGATGGGCAGAGCCGCTGTGGTGTTCGGGGGGCAGGCATTGAGGTGTGTGTGATCCCAGGCTGTGCGGGGGGAGCCTTAGCTGAGAGAACAAGCAAGTTTTTAGTGAGCATTTCAGTCAGGGATCTGA